GTTGGTTCATAGTCACGAAGTTTGGAATCCAATCTTCACAATTTTGGGACTATAGCTCTCGCTGTTGTTTTCATTTTTAGAAACCATTTTTAGTACAAGGAAGTGAGCCGGATGATCCCATGCCAAATTTGTTTCCTAAAGCCCTAATTTTGTTAAGAACGAGAAAATCAAATCGTACATTTATGTGACTATCTGTAATTGTTCTTGCCAAGAAATATGCAAAGCGTTTAGATGAGGCTGTGGTTTTAAAAGGGCAATGGAGAGAGAGTTCTGCCTTCTTTCAAAACAAAAAGTGATGACAAATGACAGAATGCAAACGCCATCTTAAACACAACCAGAATATTTATGTCCTCTCAAACAATACTACATAAGAAAAGTTGCTAAATTCAGTGAAAGTCAAATGGGGAGAAAGGTGGTAGTGGTGGTGAGAAGACACTTATGGCCAGAGATTTCATAGACAGCCCAGTCCACCAAAGCGGGGACCATGACAGGAAATACAGCAACGCTTTGTTTGGAATCCTAGATTGCATTACATGGGCTGGTGGCAGGAAGTGCCCTGGACCCCATTTGGCACCAGGGTAAAGTCCGGGAAAGAAAACACATACAGATGTGCCGCAACAATCTCTCAGTGAGTCAGGGTAGCAGAGAGGAATGCTGCCTACGAGCAGCCTGCGGTTGCTGTGTCTGCTAGCTGAGGAGGAACATCCTCACGTGTGCAACACTGTGAACTGGGGTAGCTTGGTAGCCTGGAACACACCTGGGCTCTTTCTCAGAACCTCTAGCAAATTTCCAGTTCATCGTCTCGTTCATTGATAAGCAGTAATTTAAAAGGAACTGGCATAGATGTATTCCAAGTTCATATCAAAAAAACAGGAACAAAGGAATAGAAAAACAAAGCAACAGCAGATGAAAAGGATCCTCACGAGAAACAGTCTGCCATGGAGCAAATGATAAACATCACCCAATAGATCATCACAAAATTTTTTAAATACGTAGCACAGCAAAGCCATCATCTTTGTAAAACAAGAGATCAAAGCAGAAATATAAGAACCCAGGGGAAATGGGCAAGGCAAGATAATAGGAGGAGATGAAACATGAGCTTGTAGAGATCAGGAAAGAAATGTAAGAGAAAAACAAAATCCCAGCCATGGGGAGGATATGGTTGAGTCACTTGCTCTGTATGGAGTCTATCATATTCTTTAACTACATTAAAAGAAAGTTGGACTTTGTACATGTTGGAGTTCTTTATCAGTTAATCATCATCCTTATGAAAACACAAGGAAGGAACATATCCTTATGAAAACAATGAAAATCAATAAATTATGCATCCAATTCCAAGAAAAAAAAGAAATAAAATCTAAAGGAACTGAATGAAAGAGTTAGTCAAATTAAAAGCAAAAATTTATGTAAAAATAAAAACCCAGAGTAGAATAAATAAATGTAAGTCAGTTCTTTGGGGAGGGGGGGAATAAAACAAACTATTGCTAATCTAATCATAGGAAAAGAACAAAAACACAAATACACCAATTAAGAAATGATATTGGGGTATAATCAGAAAAACTAAGAAAATAAAAAGAACTAAATAAGAGATTACTTAATTCTATGCAAATACATTTGAAACCTGGATGAAAGAGATTTTTTTTCCAGAGAGAATAGAAATGATTAAAATGACCTCAAAAAAGAGAAAAATAAGACAGAAACATAACTACCTGAGTTGAGAGTCAAGAATTACAGAGACCAGAAGAGCTACTCAGTCCACGGGAATGGCAGAGTCCAGGCCAATTTGTCAGTCTCCTCCTGTACTAACTTTTGCTAAATCCAAGTAAAGCAAATCATAGGGTTTTCTGAGTTCGGAGGAAAAAATAAGACACAGGGGGCCCAAAGCAGATTTTGATAAGGCAGGAGGGCATGAGCATGTAAGGGGCAAGAGAAGGGGTAGGGGGTGGAAGACATTGACCCAGAGGCAGACTGGAAGAAGTCTCCATGCTAGAGCGACACAACAGGATTGAGGGGCGTCCCCACTGGGGGACTTCTTTGACCACATATCTTCTTTTTCCACTAGCTTTGATCACTCCATCCTATTTCCTTTTTCATTAACTATTTAATAATACTTAGCACTGTTGGTAATAAGATGTTTGCTTACTTGTTAACTGGCCCTTCAGCTGAGTGACCTCTTCCATGAGCACAGAGACCATGTCTCTTTTGTCCAACAGTATATACACATTGTATATTGGCCTTCTATTGTGCCAGTCATTACGTATTTGTTAAATGAATGCATAGGGCAAGTTTGGCATTTTGGAGAAGAAGCAGAGAATAATAAAACGTGGCTGCAAAGACATTGATTTCTGGCCCAAGGAAGAAGACGTGCATCATGGCGGTACAACGCTCTATTGGGAAGGGGGCCACTATTATAGACTTAAAGGGAACAGTGAGAATGTGCAAGGTCTTCCTAGGATAAGATAGACAGCCTGCTGAGAGGCTGAAGGGACAGGTTGGAGAGAGAAGCTGTGTCTTACAACATGATATTTAATAAGAAAAATAAAAGTTTGGTTCTATGTCTTGCTTTGAAAAAGTCAACCTCACAAGCTCCATCTGGAGAGCTCTGGTTTAACTCTATATCACAAGTAAAGAAGAAGAAGAAGAAAAAAAGCCTGACTTTGAGATCTAAGCTCAAAATGAGTGACAGATATGATACGACCACTAAAATCCTTATGTCGAGGTAGACTGCATTGATTCTTGGTTCCACTGTCTTCGGCGACAAAGGTGCCAGGCTTGCTTGGCTCTGGGCTGTCAGACTGTTGTATGACTTTCCTTTCTGAATGCTACACTTTAATCGGTACAGAATTAATTTGAACACATTCTGAAGAGAGGCCTTAGGATGATAAAGATACTCAAAAGTAAGTTACGTAAGGAACAGTTAAAGGAACTGGGGCTATTTTGCTTGGAGAAGGAAAGCTTCAAAAGAGACATGAGTCTCTGAGTATGTGAAGGGCTGTCACGGAAGAGGCTTTAGTCTGGTTCAGAATGACCTTGAGGGAGGAACTAGGGCTAGTAGGCAGATTTCAGCTCAATACCAGCGAGAACTTTGGCGTTGTCAGAGCCTCGTGGAGATGGGAGGGCTGCCTCACACAGAGAGAAACCTGTCACCTCGGGCCCTCTAGTGCATGAGCATGTCAGCGTGCACTGAGGCAAGACCCAGCACCAAGGGCTGCACGGGACTCCAGGCTAGCTGCCCTCTAGACCCTCTCCAAACACTGAAATCCCGTCATCGACACTGGCCTTCAACTTGCGTGTTCGTTATGAGAATCGCTGGGGGTTAGTGATGTGAAAGCGCTTCGTAAACGCTGAAGTGTTCTACTAATGTAAGGGATTGTCACTGTTTTTTCATTATGTTGGAGGACTTCGATTCTGTCCTGATTGCCATTGTCTCTACTCATGCTTTAGCTCCCTTCAACTCACAGAGATTTCTAAATTGCAAATGCCAAATTTAATATTATTAGGACTACTATTCAAATTTTCAAGATGCTTCATAAGTAATAACTGGTTCCTTGTCTCTTACTAATGAGGGACAGGTCCTATATTTAGCATGCTAATTACAGTCCTGTTCCTGTGGTTAAAGGGATGGAGTAGCTGAGTTCCGATGTGTCAGCTTATGGGGCAGAGCTCATTAACGTCAACAGCACCCTCACAGAAGTCTTTGTGTAACAAAAACGTCCCCACAGTAAAAAATCGACAATAAACAAACGCACACATTAATAAATTAACCTCAGAGTCTACTCTGATAGAATGTGACTTGGGTCCTTTACCTGGTGTCCTCTGGTGGCCCATTCATTCTCAGGCAAGGAGAATGTCTGTTATTTGGTAGCATAGCTAACTTGTCACAAGGCATTATGATTTAGAGAAATTAATTGCTAGATAAATGAAAGCCCTAATTCTATTTTAGGTGTTCAAAATATTTTCTCCACCAAACTCCAATATCCTCTCTAATAAAGTAACAGCTTGATAACTTTGAAATATTTCCTTTCTTTTTTTTCCACTTTTTTTTTTCCGGAGGACTTAACAGAGAGTGACACAGCAAAGACAGGCTGAGAGAAGAAAACCAGGAAAACCAGAAGAGAGCAAAACTCTCTTCAAAGTACAGTTCACTAAGTTACAAAGCAATGTGTTCTCCCCACTGTTTGTTTATGTATTTTATTCTTTGACTGACTTGAACCTAGAGCACACGAAGGATTCATTCGGAGGCTGGAATTTATACAGGGCATTAGAGAAGGGAAGGCTCAGATAAGGAGAAATACCACGAAATTTTGACACACTTCTCTTTTGATGCTATGGATCATTGGGAACGAAACAGTTTTTAAAGGAGCTATTAGTTTATGCTCTGTATTCAGTCTGACACGTTTTTAGGTATTTATGCTCTGGGAAGAAGGCTTAACTTTTAATATAGATAATATTTCTTCACACGAAGATGACATCTATCAAGAAAAATCTACTATATACTTTCCTATATTGTGATTACAACTCTCCAATAATGAGTATTCAGGGAAACGCCAACAAGTTTCTGTTTAAAGTTAGGAGTGGGCAGGAATAAATGGGGTCACAAATCATTGACTAATCTCTTCTGCACCTCTTCAGAACTCCCAATCCATCTTTGTGGAAAGTTTGCTAAAAAAATAAAATAATAGGGCATGTCTTCAGAGAGCCACTTTATTGTATGGTTTGCCTCATATTAATCTAAACTTGAAGGGCAAGCTCTGGATTGAACACTTGGCCATCAGTAGTTCTAAGGGGGCCTGTTAGTGTTTGATGAATGTTCAAGACTCATCAGCACTGGGAGGTAATGCAAGGCCAGCCGAGTGAAAGTACTCAGTGTGTTCAATATGGTTGCGCTAAAGCAGACATAAGTTAAAGAAAGATATTCTCCTCAGGGAGCACAGGATGAATCTTTGAGAAGCAAGGGCTTCAGAAATGACAAGTCCTCTGTCCCCAAAGCAAGGACATACCTTGATTCCCATAGCCGGTGTCTATTCCAGACCCATCCCATGAGTCTACAGCACTGTCCACGCTGGGCACCGTGGAGGGGTACATGTCGGAGAGCTTGCCTGGCTTCTGCGCCGGGGACGAGTCCTCCTCCACGTCTCCCAGGTCACTCATGTGGCTGGGAATGGGGAACTTCTTGGGACTTGATGCCGACTGGGCTTTATAGACAGGAGAGGAGTTTAAGTATCAGAATAAATGTAAATTAAAGGATACTCAAATACTCTAGCTGCAGATTCGTTTCCCTAGAAATACACACATAGACACTAGCACGTTCTTTTGCAGAAGGAAATGCACTGGAAATCCTTAATTGTGGCTCTCGACCCACTCACCATCTGTCTGTTTCTTAATTTTCAAGGTGACAGTCTCTCCTGCCATCTGTAACAAATGGATGGCTTCACTCAGAGGCTTCCCTTTCAAGCTGCTGCTGTTGATGGCAAGGATTCGGTCTCCTATGTGGATTGCACCAGTCCTGAAACACCAAATAGTGATAGAAAGATAGATAATCCCTGCGTGCTGCTGATTACAGCTTCCCTGACATGCTTTATACAGTCATAATAATAAAGACTTTGCAAGGATTTCCAGGAGCCCCTTCTTCTAGCTTTCTCCTGGGCAATGCTATAAGATAACTGCATCTGTTGTGAATTAATTTTAAGTTTCCAATAAAATTAGAAAAATTGTTTTAATTTGTTTTTAAAATGGTGTGCTTTTTAAATTCCAAGAAAGCTGAGTCATTTGGTAATCCCCTTGAAAAATCCCAAGAAAGTGAATAATGTTGAACATCAAATGTGGCGATGGGTAGCATGGAGCATTCTTTCTTTCTACAGATTTAAAATGTTTAACCCAATCAGCACCCAGCTCACCACGAGTGAGGTTCAGAGAGATGCAGACACACACCAGACCCTGGGCCTCCCTAATGGATGATTCCAAAGATTGAAAAAGGCTGAATGCAGGAATCAATTAGTGCACGATTGAATCCAACTCCGCCACCTCCCAGCTGTGTGACCTGGGTACCCTATTTTAACCTCTCTGGGTGTCAGTTTCTTCATCACTATGATAGGGGATAATCGTATCTTTGAGAAGCCCTGAGGATTAAATAGGAAAACATATGTAAAGGGCCTTGTACACTGCTTGAAATGTAGAAAAAGAAAATAATTTATTGATCAATGAACTAATAAACCTTTGCTCTTTTCCCTTCTCTTCCCATCCTCACCCAGTTCTGAACTAGCAGACTGGAATTTACAATCCTGGTGCTCAGCACACCTGTCCCCGTTTGGAGGCCCTGGTGGGGAAGGAATAGACTCATAGCTGGGAAGCCCTGGGATGGTAACACTCAGATCTCTGTGCTGGGTTGAAGGCTGTAGAGCCGGAATCCCACATGCTCGTCTCCTGTTGTACACGCTCACTTCGAATACAGGGAGCGAGGCATCGACCCAGCTAACAGGGCAGCTTGTGACTCTGCTCTGACACCGCTTGCTTCCATGGTGTGGTGGCCGTGCTGTGCAGCAGCAACGGGTCAACAGAAGTGACACAGGGTCATATGGGTTATGAGAGGCCACTTAACAACTCTACCACTGCATCTACTCTCAAGGAATATTTTCCCCTGAAATAAAAAAAAAATAAAATAAAAAGATCTCTCCATTCTCTCATAAAAAGTCTCCAGGTTATGAAAGTTCCATGTGTACCATAGACACTTTACCAGTAGGTTCCTGAATTAGGTCAATATGAATCTTTTCTTGGTTGTCTCTCCATCAGAGATACCCAAGACCGTCTCTATAATAGAGAAATCTAGAACGGGAGATGTCTGAAGAATATCATATCGCAGATGTCTCTGCTAATATCAGAATATTAAATTTCAACGGGGTCACCTTTTCTGAGCTGCCTCAGTGCCCCCATCTGACAGATGAAGATGTTGTATGAGCTAATTTCTGAGGTACATTGCAGCTCCAAAATTCTGCAATGCTATGTCTCTATTTTGCAAACCACTGTCTTCAAGTGTCAGCGGGAATGATGTCTTTGTGCATCCTTGAGCTGGGTTACTGGAGGACAGATTTTGTTACAGGGTTTGTTATGGGCTTGACAACGTGTATCAGATAGAAATGCAGTTTAGTAGCGGCTGAGGAACGGATGGGCAATGGGGGCGGGTGTGCATCATTGCCAAAGGAACAAATGGACATTCCAAATTACACGATATTATTAGGAAGGGTCACTACACTTTGTTTCCCTTAATCTTAGAAGATGAAGCTGCCTGTATCATCCTCTTTGGAAAACACAGCAGCTAAGCACAGCACCTATCTGGTAATAGAGGCTCAGTAAATGTTTGCTGAATTGAACCGGACAAGCCTTTTAACCTCCCTGAACTTTAGTTTCCTCCTCCCAAAATGGACACAATATAAATCCACCTCCAGTCAATTGTGGTCAGTTTATACATCTCAGAGAGTAATATCAATGCTCAGCCCATGACATCTTTTACTGCCTGTAAGATGCCCCTCAAAGTCAAGTCTGGGCTCTGCCTGAGAGATCTCAAGCTCTAAAATCAATCCTTTGTGCGGATTTGAAAAAGCCAACAGATAACCAACCAGGCGAGGGGAGCTTGTTTTTATGCAGCTGGGAGGAAGGAAGCCCATCTCAGACACAGGTAATTATAGCAGTTCCTTCAGATTTTACCTTTCAGCTAATCCCCCTTTAGTGAGGCTTGAAATGATTATAGGATCAAACGGCTCTTCAGTTCCTGAAATTGTGATGCCAAGGGGCCCCCCATAGCGTTTAAGCTCCACGGTGTAAATAATTGCTCCGGAACTTTCTTGCTCATCTGCAATAAATGCCAAGGAGTCATAATTGGTTTCTTCGGAAAGAGCAAAATAATAAGACACATATATTCATACGTAAAGTAGAAAATTCGAAACATCATCATCAAATGCATCATGTCTGAGAAAATAATCATTTGGGGAAGTAGCATTTCCTTAATAGGAGCTTACATTCTGATTCAGGGATGAGTCATCGTCAGTGCCAGGGAAGGGGACACTGCATAATGACTTATGTTTTAAACCTGTGACTGATCCAACTGTTTCCACACCTAGCATAGTGCTTGCCTAGCATTTTGTGAGTCTGTGATAAATACCTGGGGAATAAACATATGACTGAGGAGGTAATATGGGAGCAGAGAGTCACACAGGAGCAAAGATGCTATTTCTGTTTTCAGGCTTTACTCACAAGCTAACTTTCAACATAGAAAAGTTGTTTTGCTAATGGTTGGAGCAAATGATAACACACACATGGTTAAGTGGGACTTAGCTTGCAGGCAACAGTGGGAAATCTGGAATCCCTTATGTATCATTCCACTGAACGTCTTAAAATTTGAGTCCTATTGATGAATTCATGGATATTAAAGTGGAGGTATGAATGATTCTCTCTCCTCTTTTAACAGAGTAAAAGCCATTGTACGCTGTGTTTCAATAGCGATACCAGGCTACCACACTGTCATGAACTAATTTGGGCTATTTAACATTACCATGAAGACCTTTGTGAATGTGGTCTGCCTAAAGCATTGGCCAGAAAGATGTCACGGGCCACCTTCAACACGGTGGATGCTGGGTTGCAAATATGAAGTCTCAGAATTCAAAGGGTTGTATTTGCTTCTGACATGCTTAAAGTTCTTGGGCATTTCTTGTTTTATTACTTGGGCCTGGGAGCTGTGAATGGTTAAGGAGCCGTTTCATTTCTGTACCTAAGGATACAATGAAATGGTCCAGTAGCTACTTTAACAAAATAGTCATCTTTTACAGTTAGACTGTATCATAGCCAAGCATTAACATGGCCATGTTTTTGCAATGAACAGCTGTTCATTTACAATATGAAATCCTAAAATAAGGAGGAAAAGAGAAGCTTGAGTTAACAATTCAATTATCTGTGTGTGCAGTGAAGGATTAGGGTGAATATAAAATGAAAGGTCTGTAAAGTAATGTGGGAAACAACGTGTCCTCTCTTGCCTGCGTTTGCTTCACTTCTGGCCATAGATTGGGAGTTTTGGAACGAAGCCATCACCTCCACTCCCTGAGTGCTCTACTCCTCATAAGCTCCATCCACTGAGAATTGAGGACCATCCACCACACACTGCAATGCTTATATCAACATTTTAGTGTATAAAAACTTCAATATCAGACTCAAATTTATATTAGCAGCTGAGAATCTTCCATATCAAGCCTAAAATAGCTCTGATGGTTCACAAACTTCTTCCCGGCTGCTGCTTAAGTTGTGGCCACTGGGCTGGGGATGATCTGCTAAGGGCTCCTGAGAGGAGCCTCAGCATACAGGGTAATCGAATAATAAAAAGTCTAAATTTTCCTATAGTATGATATTTTGTCACCCTTCAGAGCTGGCTTTAACCTAAATGAATAGGTTATTATTGGATATATTACATGTACTTTGCAGCCTGTGCCGCCCACTATATTCTGGATAAAAATCTGGATAAGTTAGTCAATTAGTAAGCCCTGGCATAGTTAAACGTTCGTTACTGCTGGGCGCTCTCCTGGCCATTCAGTGGGGTGTGTGTGCCATAGGAGAGACTTGACCTTTCATGCTCTCCATACAGGGCAAGCTGAGCACAAGCTCGTCAATGCGCACTGAGGATTTAGGGTTTGGGCATCAGCTTTTTATGGGATTTGAAGGAAATGACAGTTGTCCAGCACCTGGAGACCCAGGAACCAGTGGAAAGTTTCAGTTGAAACTATTCCAGATGAAAACAAAGATTGGTCCATGGGAAGGTGAGTTTGGGTGCCGCCCTACTTGCTGGGCAAACGGGTTGACCTCGTTCTAGTTAGCTCATTCCTTAGGCAACCCAGTAAGTAGTTTGTGTTATTTTTAGATGATTCATCCTTGTGTCACAAAGGTGACAAAATAGCCAGAGATGAAGCAAGTAGGTTTAGGATAGTCAGTTTCTGGTCACCTTACTTGGGGACACTTTTCATTCGGCATGTGAGACCTCACTATAACTAGTAGGCAATTGTTAGGGACTCGATGAGTTTAGATAGTAATGGAGATGCCAATCAAGAAAATGACAGCGTCTTAACTAGGGAGGACACATTCCCCTGACCACACTGGGGCAGAAACAGGACGAGGTGATGCAGTATTTGGATTATGACAGAAATGAATGCTTATTTCTGATTTCTTCAACAAATAAATTGTTAGAAATAAAAAAGAGAGACAGGGTGTGGTAGCTTACACCTGTAATCCTAGCACTCTGGGAGGCCAAAGCGGGAGGATTGCTTGACCTCAGGAGTTCAAGACCAGCCTGAGTAAGAGCAAGAGTCTGTCTCTACAAAAACCAACTAAACAAAAATTAGCCAGGCATGGTGGTGTGCGGCTGTAGTCCCAGCTACTTGGGAGGCTGAGGCAGGAGGATCCTCTTAGCCCAGGAGTTAGAGGCTGCAGTGAGCAATGATCATGCCACCGCCCTCCAGCCTGGGCAATAGAGTAAGAACCTGTCTCAAAACAAACAAACGAAAAAGCTATCCATCTGTCTGTGTATATATATAAAAATCACAGAAATGTGAACATTGAGTGAATATTTAATGATATTAAGAATTATTGCTAGTATTTTAAGGTGATGATGTTATTTAGTTATGTGTTTTTACTCAGATCACTTTTCCTCTGCTCAAAACCCTCCAATGGCTCCCATCACACTGAGGAAAAGCCCAAGTCCTTTTTTCTTTTCTTTTTTTTTTAGACAAACTCTTGCTCTGTCACCCGGGCTAGAGTGCCACGGCCTTACCCTAGCTCACAGCAACCTCAAACTCCTGGGCTCAAGCAATCCTCCTGGCTCAGCCTCCCAAGTAGCTGGGACTACAGGCGTGCCCCACCACACCCGGCTAATTACTTGTTTCTATTTTAGTTGTCTGGCTAATTTTTCTATTTTTTTAGTAGAGATGGGGTCTCGCTCTTGCTCAGGCTGGTCTCGAACTCCTGAGCTCAAGCGATCCTCCCGCCTCGGCCTCCAAGAGTGCTAGGATTACAGGCATGAGCCACGGTGCCCAGCCTAGTTATGTGTTTTTAAAAGAGTATCTTTTGGATACATTAGCAATATTAAATATTTACAAGATGAAATGATAAGATGCCTGGAATTTCTTCAAAATAATCCTGTGTTGACTGAGGTGGAGAAATTAGACTGGGAGTATAGATGAAGCAAGATAGGCTGTAAGTCAATCACTGTTGATACTGGCTCATGCATGATGATTCATTATGTTATTTTTCTCTACTTTTGTATATATTTGAAATTTCATAATAATTTTTTCAAAAAGAAAATAATATTCTTCTAGAAAACCCTGGGTGGCTGCCTTGAGTAAACAGTTATTTAATTAGACTGGCTTCCTTCCTTTCCTAGACGACGGTGGTGGCAGCTGCCCGCACATGGTCTCATCCAGACCATATGGCCCGTCTGCCCACACGGCAAGGTGCCCAGAGCATCCCACGACTGCTGCTCTCCAGGACGCCCCCATCTTGGCTCTCCCCAGATTTTCAGGGCAATGGCTTCCTCCTACATGGTCTTCCTGCTGGGAACCCCGCCTTTGCCCCTCCTCCTCACATCTACTTCCACCAGTGCTGCCAACACGTAATTCCTTCTTGTTTCTTCCCAGAATATTTTAAAAACACAATTCTGAATATGTTACTCTCTTACTTGATGCTTTTCATTGGTTCCCCAATTCCTTAAGAATCAAATAGAACCCCCTTGCAAGAGCTGAGCTGGAGCCTCTGTCTCTCCAGAGGGTCACACCCTCCTCCCCATCCCAATCCAATCTCCTGAATTCTCTCTTCATGGAACCATTGCAGTTCCTTAAAAAGCACTTTTCTAACATCTTTAACCCTTGCATCTGTTACTTCCTGTGTACAAACATATTTCTCGCACTTGTTCCCCTGGAGAATTTCTACTTTTACTTCAGAGCTTGACTCAGATGCCTTATTGTTCAAGAAGCCTTCCTGGCTCCTCGGCTCAGTCTAGAGGCCTTTCCCATGAGACCCACAGCTCCTGGGCATTCTTCTAGTGTTTCGAAACCTTTTGTTTTCGTTTTTGCTCCTTGCCACGGAGAAAAGGTAAGTTAATTTAAAATTCTCCCTAATGAGAGAAATTAAATAGTAAGGAATAAGATCCAATCAGGAAGGGTTGCGATTTGGAGGGCCACGAGCTGTTGTGATGAAATATCTAAGACCATTTGCTTCCCAAGAAGCAATTTTTGCCCCTCTTGAGAGTGCGTGTTCTAGCATGTACTCTTCACTCTGTATTTTAACACATTAACTGCCATGAGAGTTATATTTAACCCACTCTAATTGTGACCCCGGGGCCGCGTGAAGCATATGTAAAATCTTACTTGTTGATGTTCTTATTGTTACAGTTGACAATTTAATTCTAAAAACATCGATTAAATGAATGGAAGTCAATAAATTTTGTTTTTCTATTTATATTTACCTTTAAATTACCCTCAAAGTTTTTATTCTATTTTTGTAATAAAACACTGTGGTCCCAAGGAAAAGTTTCTGCTTTTTTTGTGTGTGGCAGTCAATGTGCTGAGGATTTGTTTAGTTGTCTCCTTCATTAGAATGGGATCACCTTGAAAACAGAGATTTTTATCTTCATATCCCCATAGCCTAGAACTATGTCTGGCACCAGGGAAAACTCAGCAAACGCTTGAACAAATGAGCAAAAGGATGAATGAATGTTAGCATGTAGTGTTTGGTTCCCAGGAAGAGATCTCTAAGAGAGCTTTGTGGGTCACCCTCCTGCTCCCAAGGTCTAGTTTCCTTCTCCAAGACGGGTGCGGC